ACTTCTGTATGAACCTGACATGGCAGAGAAGACATATAAAAAATAATGGAGGGAAACTCAGAAGGGCAAATTTTAAATAAGCTTGGTATATGACATATTATTTTGCTTTTCCTTTTTAATAACTGCATAAAAATAAGATAGCGTGGACACTGCATGCTACCCATAAAAGAGGTGAAATCATTATGCAATATTAGACTCTGGGAATAAACTCTGAGTATTACTAAGGTTACAGAATATACAGGTTTAAATGCTGACTGTACAGAACAACAGGGTAAGCCCCTATGATAGTGCCACATCCTCTTTTGCATATTATAATATTAAAGGAAAAAGCAGTGCAGGAGAGAAGGAGCGAAAACCCGGTTGAATGAACAGAGCTTGATTTGGGCAATGATATAAAATCCACTCACTCAACACAGGTGTTCAGTGCACAGTTTGCAAGGCAGAAATCACCACATCTTGTGATTCAGCAGGTCTCAGAACAAAACATTCTGATTACACTGTGCTGCTGTTTGGAGCACTCCAGAGAATTTTGGGGCTGAGCTTTCTCTGTGCACAAAAAATGTCTTTAAAAGATTCATTCAACAGGAGGACTCCTCCATGGGTGGGAGGAAGGCATCTCTGAGAGATATTCTTTATTTTTTTGAATACTTCAAAATGAGCCGTGGTGCCATCAAGAAAACTACAGGGTGAAATTTTTACTTCAGTATTGCTCCTTGGTAATGTACTGGCTTTACTTTTAGGGTCTCAGAGAAGCTTTAAAATTCACAAATTTGGGTACTGTGAAGTGTCAAAGACCTCCTCTTCCTCCACCTAAAAGTGTCATCTCACAACTTTAGCTTAAATGCAATCCTGCACTGCAGCACTTCACTGCCTGAAGTTTTGTCAGCCACTGAAAGAACTGCAGCTCCTAGGCTGGGACACCTGAGGATGTTGATAAAATAGGAGGATAAACAATTTAATGAATAAATAATTAACATGTAATTAAAGCTTTATTAAACCAGACTTGCATTAGATCTGCATACTCTGACTCTTAGTGCTTTTCTGAGATCTTACAGGCCTCACTCACTCATTTTTTTTTGCATTCTGTGTGTAGATCTTTGCCATGAAAAAGTTAAATATTAATTGCTACCAGAGAGTAGTATGTTTTGAAGTACTGTAAATTAATGCACATATAAATGGTAATCAAACCCCAAAGCCATTCTTTTTCAAATTATCATGAAATATTGGTATCGTTAATTACATTTATTCCTATTTGCAAAATCTCCCTTCCTACAGAACAAATTGTTTGTTTCAGAGCTCAGCCATGTATAAATTAGTTTATAGCAGTATTGCATAGAACTAAATAAATCTGCTGCAAAAGATCAGGTTCCACAAGACCTAAATTGCTGTTTCTGCATATGCACGAGTAATTAAAAATGATTCATAGGGGCTGTGAAAATACAAGAACCTTCCATAAATATTGTGGACATCAGAAATGGGAGAGGCAGGTTTGGGGACGTGCAGGAGATCTGATGCTGATCGTTCACCATGAAATGAGGGAGGGAGAGAAGGTCCTGACAGGTCACAGCTTCTTTGCCTCCATGGGACACAGAGAAAACACTTCTGCTCCTACTCTAATTCTTCTCCTTGTTCATTACCACCAACCTAATAAAGCCACTTTGTTGCTACATTTATTCCTCAGACTCCATTATTTAATAAGTGAACCCCAGAATGTGACAAGTGCTGGCAGCAGATGAGCTCATATTTCAAGTGCAGAGAAAAGTTTTACAAATTAGTCCTAACTGGTTTACAAAACACATTTTGCTGAATTAATGTCACTGAAAAAATATTACTTTCTGAAGAGGTGATGCATCCATGGCAAAATTCACAAATTAACTTTCCTCCAGACTACAAAACTTAAAAAAAGATCATCTCAAGATCCCAGTTTAACCCCCTCCTTTTAGAGAGAATCCAAAAGATCCTGTGTCATACACATAATTTTTTATCAGATAGGGGAAGGGCTGTGTGGGATTTAGTAGGCACTGCTGCTAATTGCTGAAATTAAAAGCACAGGATAGTGCAATAAGACAGTGCAACTGAACCTTTTAACATCTACATCCTTTTTGTTATTTATTGGGAACCTTGACTAGTCGTGCTACAGGCCATGCTGTAGAAAATGATATTTAAAATGGGAGAGTGAGGGAGAAGAATAACAGAATAAAATAACAAGAATTCATTTATTTTTCAAGAAAGGGAAAAAAGGAAGTAAGCTTTATGGTGTTTTCAAGTTTTAATTGTATGAAAAGCTTTAATATTTTGTCATTTTAAGAACTGTTGGTTAAAAGTAGACAGCCCCTGGCAGGACTTTTTCAGAGAGCCATTAACCTCACCCCATACAAATTTGCACTTGTAAAATTTCAAAATATAAAGTTATTGTAGCACACCTGGTCTGTTAAACACCTTCTTTAAGGTCACCTTTCATCCTGCTTTCCTCCCTGCTTCCTTCCCCACAAAGAAAACCTAAATTTTAAATTAATATATAAAATGTTTGTCTCACCACTCTTTTTTATAAAACCACTGAAATACAAATATATTAGGTAAAACTGAATGTGAATCTCTGCAGGCTTTTTGAAGGTCTCTCACCAGACTGGTTCTTACAGAAACCAATCTGCCTTGTGGTAATCAGGAAAGCCTGCTAATACATTAATAAGTGCTCAAGAAAAAGGAAAGGAAAGCTATGGGTGATACAATCCCTCAAGTGCAGCTTTGTCATTATTTTATCACTGTGGCCTGAGCTGGAATTGGAGTAGGAAAATGAAATGAGCTGCTTATTGGAGGGGGCTAGAGAAGATCTGAGATGCCTTTGATCATAATTGACTACAGGGTTTCCTTTTCAATGTGTGAAAAAATCACAAAGCTTTGTTTGAAGGCTATGAATGTGGTGCTTTGGATTTTGAAGATAGGGTTTTTTTACATCATTTGTTGTGCTATATGATTTGCTATTTCTTCTGTGGAATTTCTGAGCTAACAAATAAACGTCTTCAGGCTGGTATTAGAATCCCATATTATGAACCTTTTCCTTATGTGGCTTAGAAACAGGATCCCTTTTACCTTGGAGCCTATAAAACATTGCTGTCAGAGCCTGAAACTCCATTTATTTCTCCAGGGTGACAAACCTCCCTGCTATGACTGAGTTTCCAACAACACAGTCTTAACCCAGTTCTTATAATGAACCACTAACAACTCATTTCCTTTGATTATGTTTGTTTCTTTTGCCCAACACACCCAGAAGAGAGAGCCAGGACTACTTTCTTCAATCTGTAATGAGCACAAGCTAATCTCCATTTAATAGCATGTAACTAATGACATCTAAATGACCTCTGCTCCTTCACACCCCTGACTTTTATTACATTTTTGAATAATGACCCTCTCAATCAAACCTTTCCTCATAAGAAGATTTCAGCAGCATGAGCACAGGTCAAGGAGCGGAAGCAGCTGTGACACAAACAGGAGCTGCTGTCACTGTGCCCATAGCAAGGCACGCTGAGCACTGCCTTAATCCAACAAAACACCTCGTTCCAGCCTTGATTTGCCAGAGTCCTGCAGTCCTCAGACACCTGAGCAATGGATGTCCTTCATTCTCTGAGCTGAACTGCTGAACAACCTGTAAACTCAATTAACACCTAGGATAATTCACTGATTTCTTCCCTGACTAGCCACTGGATAGCAGCTGAGATGCCACCCTGAGGAATATCAGAGCTAAAAGTACTCCAGTACTGGTTAAAAATAAATAAACAGAGTAAGTAAAAATTTTTAAGGTGTAAGAATCTCAGAATCTTTTTCCAAAAATAATTTCTAATGTAGACCAACCTTTTCATTTCACATTATCAAATGAAATTCTGTCTCTGCCCCTGGTATAAATCTACACCTTGCTGGGAACTGTAGTGGTACAGAGTGACATCCCACATTTCAAATAAAGCTTTGGGAAGACAGGTCTAATTTTGTCCTATCTACTGTAGCTGTCCAGCATGATAATTTTTAATAGTTTTTTTTGGTTGGTGGTTTTTTTGTTTTTTTTTGTTTTTTGGTTCTTTGGGTTTTTTGGGTTTTTTTTTGTCCTCTGAAAAGAAAATTGCCTCTGGCAGTACTGAATGAGTTAAATGTTCATATGAGCAGCGCTGCCAGCCGGGGTGGGCTACCAA